AACATCATGGAAAGCTGCAGTTCGGAACACAATGAAGATGACATGATAACATTAATACGGGTCATATTGAAGTGGATTGTGAGGTAGTTAGAAATCACTTATAATTTGTGTCCAGTAGTGCAGTTTAGACGTAAGCGTACTGACTCCAGAATCTTACGTTACTTTACGTTATTGTTTGGAGCAGCCGATATGTCTGTCTGTGCCGAGGAAAGGGATGTGAGAAGAAGAGAAGGAAAGGGAAGTTGGGGGGAAAGAGACCCGATAGACCTTCTAATTAAAATTAACCCCCGCAAGCTCTACTAATTACAAGGTTTGCTGCGTTTTGCAGAAGCAGAGGAAGTGGAAAGGAACCAGTGCCAGTCTCGAGACTGCAAACGTTACTGCTCCTTCATATTTTCTTGCAAGAGGTGTCCTCAGGACACGCGCACATGTTGAGTTTAACCGTTCATGTGGTAATAAATTGGGCCTGGTTATTTAGTCCGAGAGACGACGACGTCGACAGACTGACCCCAAGAAAACGAGAATTTCTGGGAACAACTTACGACGTCTATTTACATTCAGATACCCTTCTGCATCGTAAATCTGGTAGGAATTCTAAGTTAATAAAGTCGTACATTTTTGTTCCCCAAATCTTTGCATAATTTATACTGATGCAGATACCAACTGCACCCATCCTTATACATACCAGTGAAAATTATATTCATTTGTAAAAATTATGTATATTAATTCATAAGCCTTTTTAGCGTCCCATTACTGTGTAAATTGGAGGGGGGGTGTATAAAGTGACGTGTGTGTATCATAAGTTAATTATAGGATTTAAGATTTGCGTTTATGAAGTCTAGAATTCCGCAATGTTTGGACCGACCCTGGAGCTCGCCTAAACTCCTTTATAATGAGAAACCGAGGGCCTTTTCTCAACGGATAAGGTCCCGGTGCGTGAAACTGGCCAACTCTGTCTAGTGCCAAGGTTAACATTGTGTAGCAATCTTTATAATTCCTTTCCCTCTTACAATATCTTATTTCTCTCTATGTTTGTGTTTGTTCCCTCGTATATCGTCACAGTGCCACAGGCCCAGTTACAACGTTTATGATTCTGATCCATATAACCGCGTTGCATTATATATAACAATTTTATGCATATGTATTTTGTAACAAGTTTATAATTGTGTGACATCAGTGTGGCTTGTGTTCTTCGCATCGTGACACGCCTTGACTCACTCACTTGTTTTCCTTGGACGGGAGAAACATGGATGACAGCAACACGTGACGTCCATCACAAAGCTATTTCTTAAATCTTGATTGTTCTCATGACTGCTGTCTGCATTTAGATATGCTGTCATTCAATTCGGAATCATTTTCCTTTTCATTCTCCTCAATGTAAGAAAAAGGCAAGAATACACACAACAGTTTAATTTACTTGCTGCTTCTACTGAGTGCAAAATTTTGTGTCTTGCATTCAAAGGTAAAAATAGCTATTTTTAGTGTTCCATATTTATGCCTGGAATGATGAAGAGAGAACTGGAGAAAATTGGATAACATTACGTTCGCAATATTTATTTTTCATCAAACATTTCTAGGTGTTAAGGCGAAAAGAATGCCGGGACGTGTAGTGGCACTGGATACTTTTGAAAACAACTTTAGTGAACCAAACCTTCAGGCTTTATTTTCAGAGGTTCTTTATACAGAGTGTCTGTCCTTTTCCATGAGGACCGCAGGGCGGACGGAATCCTTGCCGCAACAGCTGCCAGCATTGTCGTTCGTTCGATTTACTCACTTCCGCAATGAAAAGATGACTCTGTACAAGTCCTTGTGTTTGGCTGCAGAGAGCCTACAGGTGCTGACGATCATTGACGTGGTTTTATTCACAGGGGAAGGAGGGGAAGGCGGTGAGGAGGGTGGACCACCAGACAGTCCTGGCAGCAAGCTGGCAGGGGATGACGCTTCATCTGAACCTGTGTCCCCCACTTCAGCGACAGCAGCAGATTCACCAGGCGGCCTCCAGGAAGACGTTGTCGATGGAACAGGCTCCGTGAATTCACCAGTTCCTACTGCTCCAGCGTCTCCAGCGACTTCTTCACCAATGGTTGTCGACGGACACGAAACAGAACCAGAAGTGGCAATAACTATGTTGCAAGACCCACTAGCTGTGAGGTAAGACGTCTTCCATATGTGTAACATACACTCATTACATTGTAGTGATTTCTTGTCAATTAATGCAATGGGAATACTTAATTTTGTTCAAATCCCTCCACTTGCTTCACACTCTCAAGAGAGTTTAATTTCTGTAATAGGCGTTGAACCTGTGGCTTTTCTTGTGTCAACGACACTTCGGTCATGAAATATTCCAGCTTTAACCTCACGTCTGTTCAAAAAACGAAATCATCTTTTATCGCCACCTTTGAGTCTTCACTTAACACGAAGGGGTTTTGCTGTTTTGTCACCAGTCACGTGCTACTTCTGACGTCCGTGGTCCGTTTCCACGAATCTGTGAGACGGATCGAATCCAGGGTAGTTTTAAATTATTTTTTTTACGTTCCACCTGCCGATTGTATGTTTTCTTCACCGGTTTTGATTGCTGGCCTACGTTCCTCGTCCTTTTGCACTGAGGACGCCTGTAGTAGTCGATCCTGCAAAGATCAAGACGTACTATCATTCAGCTGTTGTCATTATAATCGTTTGTTCCATTGTCTGCGACCATATCAAGGTCCTTCCAGTTACAAAATGTTTGATCGTTCGAAAAATACATCGACCATTGCGATCGAGTGATGCGCTCATCAGATTGGACTTAGACGAATTAATCATACGCTTAAATGCTGTATAATATTAAAGTGGGTAACACGTTTGTACTGGCTCGGGCCTTCGTAGCAAGGAAAGAGGATTTCTTAATCAGTTGATAAACTAATTTTCAAGTGCTTAAGGACGAGATGAGATGTTAAATCAACGCAATCTTAGATGCGAGTTGTTTTTTGCGTTTTGATCATAACTCAGATGACTCAGTGACAAGTGCAATTAATATCTGCAAGTAGTTTTCCTTCAGAAGATTATATTTATCGACTGGACCTTCAGTTTGGACGCCATATTTATCCGCTCAGTAACCTTCCAGTCGCTCGCTCTGTTTAAGACTCAGCGGTCCTGTGTTCGACGGATGGAGCCGCCCGACTCCTGAACGTCCGACCGTTGCGAAGTGGTAAAAATTGTAGACACTTGGAAGGAACCTGCTGCTTCTTCTTGAGGGTTGAAAAGGTAGACAAGAAGATGGTTAGTGTTGCGTTGTAATTTCGAATGACCACCCTTCCAAGTCAAATCGTGACTGTGTTCTCAGGTGGTTCTACCACTTTATTTCTGAAGAAGAGAGCAGCATGTTCGTAATTCTTATACATTCGTCGCGGTGCAATACTTTTCGACACTTCACAATTAATACGGGCCACTGTGAAAACTTAAGACTCATACGTTTGTACTTTGTTCATACGTAATTTTATTTACATTGTTAGATTTTTTAAATACATTATCTATAAATTTTACGAACGTTGAATTAAGGAGTTTGTATTTTAACGTGTTTGAAAAATAAATACCGGTTTTATTATGCATAACGAAATTTGGCTAGAATTAATAATCTGTGAAAATGGAATTTAACAACATGGTGGCAGCCCGAAATATTTTTGTGTGATACGAGTCAGTATAAGTCGAAGCATGAAATTTTACAGGCCTGAATATTCTACACGTATTAGGCTTACGGACATTTTTAAAACGTACAAGGCCTAAACCTTCGAGACTTTGAACAGGGGGACGCTAACGGCGAGTTTCCTTACTTAGGACTACGTGTTTTCTTCTTGCCAATATCCTCCAGGTGACCGACGCCATCTCACATCTTATTCTTCTACCAAACAACTGCAGAGAAAGAAAAGACTGGCAATAACATATTGTATAACTTTTTCAAAACTCTTAACTACGACACAATCTATAAAGTCGGTGCACGGTTGGTTGAAATTACTTTTATTCTTTCTCGCTCCTTTCATATAGTAGTCCTCTTTCTCGTTTCTCTCTCCTTGTCTTTGGCGTCTATGATACTGACGATGATGGCAAAGCGAAGGGAAGCCTGGCGCTGAGCAATATTTAGCACTGGTGGTCCACCATTATCGTAAATCAGCAACAGCTACACACTCTTCCATATCATTTCGAGCAGGCAGAGCGAGGCGACGGATGGACTGACTTGCTGACGGCTTTGCGCAAGGAACAGCCCCTCCATTCATTGGCTGTGACTGTTTGACCGACTGTTCTTTCGTTAACAGGATGACTGGCAGCCTCATTAACAGACTGACTCACTGATGGCTTGATTAATTCTTCATTAATAGATTGACTGCCTCATTCATTAGTCGATAGAACGATTAATCGTTCTATTGATGAATCATCTTGACTGACTTTGATTGGATTGCTGTTTGATTCATTCACTGACAGACCGATTTAGTGACTGGCTGTATAATTGATTAATTCATCCACTAACTTACTGATTAGCTGACTGATAAATTTATTACTGACTGAGTGATGGCAGTCCGACTGATTCGTAATTTATTCATTGACAAAATGTTTACTGACTGTTGATTTATTAATTTATTGATACATTCGCTGATTTATTCCTTTGAAAATTGAGTGGTACATTAATTGGCTGATTTCATAATTGTATTACGTCTTGAATGTTTGTTAGAGTGATTTGTTAATTAGTTGACTGACTCACGAAATGATTAATTCTTTGAACGACAGACTGATTTACAAATTGAGAAAGTAAATTATTTACAGTTTAATTATTCGATTGATTTGGTTGAAAAGTTGATTAATTCACTAACTCACTGACTGAGTAATGTTTTACATGACTTATTCGTACAGTAATTTAATGAGTAACCTATTTCCCAATTTTAGCCGATGTTAATTTCATCACGAATATAACTAACGTACTTGAAATTTGCTATATTATAAAGCAATTATATTCTTAAATTATGATTTTGTTCTGTTTTCTTTCAATGAACAAGAAGTATAAACAACTTCTTTTCAGAGTTTGTATTTAATGCGAATCGAAAATCGTGGTCGATGACGGAGTTCGACTGTGGTCTTCGAGCGCGATTCTGACTACGTTTTCATATCGCCATTTGGCAAATAGTGTGTATAAACAGTATTATTCCTTCAGCATTTTTCCAGTTCCTTACATTCTTCATCATGTAGCCTATAAAATTTGCGTAGCTTCGTAAGAAAAAGCAACGACAAACTTGTGCTTAGTGTTTAACTAAGCACTGCGCCATGCAGACGTATAGGAGAGTGGAAGTATGATTTCACGCCCTGGCCGCTTTTCCCCCCGAGGAGAGAAGGAGGTACCCGTTGGAGAGAATACTGGATGGGTCACAAAACTCTTATGGGGGTTGTGGGAAGAGAAAAATCCTGCCCTGTGAACAGAATCCAGGTGTTCCAGCCCATTGCCTAGTGACTGATGTCTGAGCTAACTTAAAATAAAGCAGAAAGAAGTCTTGTTAAACTGATGCCCGTAGTGGCGTCTAATACACTTCTTTGTGTTCTTTATATTATTATAATTAATTGATTAATGAGTTATGTAGTCACTTGTTTAGTTGCAAACTACAGTATTAAATGAAACGTAATATTATAGATGATGATTGTAGCGGATATGAGAAAAGTACACGGCCTGGTGTATCTTGCGTTATTATCTCTGTATATACTTGGTGGAATTGAAGAATTGGTAAGTATCGGACAGGATTGCTTCCATCTAGGCCGAGATTTGAACTCGAAACATCTCAAATACGAGCCAGGATTGCCAGCCATCAACACGACGTTTGTTAGGATATTTGCGTTTTTGTGTATTTAATAATTAGACTTCAGAACCAGTCTAGGACGCATACAGGGGCACTGCTAGCTGAGTAATGCGGTACTGAATATTTTATTAAATTCAGAAATTTCAGTATTTTAGTAGACAATGCAGAGTATCAAGTTGTGGTCTGCCACTTGTTACCAATTGGATTGACGTATCACGCTCGTATTATGCAAAGTGATTTGGATCATGTCAGTAAACAATGTGGGACACGAATTTCTGACTTATGATGTCAGTTATGAACGCTTGGACTTCTGTAATAATTTTTGCATCCTGCGCTTAGTGGAAACCTGCCTGAAATGGAAAACGTTGTGGTCTGTTCGCATTCCGTTACAAGCAGGTTGCACTGCATATCTACATGCTTGTAGCAGTGGTAATATGTGTTCGCAGGGAGACCCCCGGCTCCCGCTGTCCGTCCCGCGAGTCGCGGGGCTCCTCCGTGCCGCCCCGCTGTCCGTCGCGCGAGTCCCTCAGCGCCGCAGTAACGGCTCCAGTCACCACCACCACGGCGCCGTCAGCTTCTGTCAGCCCGGTGGCCGTGACGCTGCCGCCCACTGCCGCACTTCTTCCTCCTCATTCCGCGGCCATCGCCGCCTACCTCGGTGTTGCAGCCGCAGCCCAGCATTCGCATCACAGGCTCCTCATGACCTCTCCAGTCCTCCCCCGTGGTTCTGTCTCGCCTCTCGTTTCCTCATCTTCCTCTCCCCCTATCTTACCGCTACCCAGTAACATAGTGATGTCCCCACCACCTCCACCGCTCCGATCACCGATGGAAACAGATTCTGCCGTCCTGGACTTCAGCACAAAGAAGTTGCAAGGTGGCGGGAAGACGATTCCAGCGAGAGACGAAGGAGACTCTGATTCTGCCTTGAATCTCATCAAACCAACCACTCCAGTCCTTCCATCGGAATCACATCTCAATGGCCCTTTAGATCTGTCTGTACCTAGCAGGAAGCGAGGCATCGAGGACTCGTCTTCCGCCTCGTTATCAGTATCTTCACTGTCTCCTAGTCCTCACGCAACATCCCGCAAGAATACCCGCCTATCGTCAGATTTCAAAGCATCTGTGGTGTCTCCTTGGACATCTCCTGTAGTTGCATCGCATTTCCCGTACTTTGCCGCAGCGGTTGCAGCAAGTATGTCGCCTAAGAACAACTCCACGAACATGAACCACGGTTCGGGAGAAAACCCGATTTGGAACGGCAAAATGAAAATGCACGAGAAGCAGGGATCTCATTACGGGGGCGTTCCTACTCCAAGCGACGCGACTAAGGCACTGGAGAAGATGAGCGAATTGAGCAAACTGGGAGGCGATGACATGTTCCGGCCGTCTGTGAACAGTGCAGTTCCAGGAAGCGGGGGCAGCACAAGTGGCAGACACAGTGCGTGGCAATCGCACTGGCTCAACAAGGGTGCGGACCAGGCGAAAGACGTTCTGAAATGTGTGTGGTGTAAGCAGAGTTTCCCCAGCCTTGCTGCCATGACAGCGCACATGAAGGAAGCCAAACACTGTGGCGTCAACGTCCCTGCACCATCTATTCAACCCCCACCGCCTCCGCCCCCTCAGCATCCACCGACATCCACAGCGTCTATATCTACCAACAGCGGTGGCGCCAGTATCGGGCCTCCCACTACCACCAGCAACAAGCCCACCACCGCTGACCTCAATTTGCTCATTAAGGAGACAATGCCGTTGCCTAGGAAACTAGTCCGAGGCCAGGACGTTTGGCTGGGAAAGGGCGCAGAGCAGACACGTCAGATACTGAAATGTATGTGGTGTGGGCAAAGCTTCCGGTCCCTGGCCGAGATGACGAGTCACATGCAGCAAACTCAGCACTACACGAACATCATCTCACAAGAACAAATTATCTCCTGGAAGTCATCGGATGACAGCAAGACTGGAGGAGGACCTGGGAGTGGCGCTGCTGCTGGAGGTGTGGGGGGTGCTAGTAGTCACGTGAGTGCTGTCCTCACGTGCAAAGTGTGCGATCAGGCGTTCAGTTCGCTCAAAGAGTTAAGCAATCACATGGTGAAGAATTCTCATTACAAGGAACACATTATGAGGTCCATCACTGAAAGCGGAGGAAGACGAAGGCAGACTCGAGAGAAACGTAAGAAGTCTCTTCCAGTGAGGAAGCTGCTGGAGTTGGAGCGCGCACAGCATGAACTGAAGAACGGAGAGGGTGGCATGATAATCGGGGGGAAGGTCGTCCGGGACTCGGCGCCAGCGGCTGGTCGAATCACATGTGAGAAGTGTGGTGAGAAGATCGAAACGTCCATCTTCGTGGAACATATTCGACAATGTGTAGGCGGCGGAAGCATCGGTAGCAACCAGAGAAACCTTCTGAAGAACGCCCTTCTGTCCAGTAACGTCCTTCCGTCAGATGTTCCTGTCATAATGGGACAGCACATAGCAGACCGAGAAAGCAGAAAAAGTATAAGTGAGGAGGCCCCACCACCTGCAGGACGACAGCATCGGTCACCGTCTCTGGCTACGGACTTGTCTAGTGGTAGTAAAGAAGCCGGTACGGGCGGGACGATAGCCGGAGGTGACACGTCGTCACCGTCGGTCCTCAATGCAATCGAGAAGCTGATAGAGAAAAGCTTCGATTCCAGGACGCGGCACAGTGGCACTGGATATGGCGGTGGTCCTGGTGGTGTGGGGTCTGCCCCCATGGGTTCCAGCATACTAAAACGATTGGGTATCGACGAAAGCGTGGATTATACGAAGCCGTTGGTAGATGCACAGACCATGAATATTCTGAGGAGCTATCACCATCACCACCACAACCAACAACATCATTATAGTAGAAGAGAACGGAGTGGAAGCGAGTCTAGTTCTGTCTCAGATAGAGGTGGTGGCGGTGGTCGAACAGAGGCTCTGACCCCGGACCGCAAATCGGATTTAACTACTGCTGAAAGGTTGATGAGCTCCACACCCAGGACCACGCCAGAGAAAGGAATTCAAACTCCACCATCGGCGAAAATAATTTGCCATGACGAGTCAGTAAATGAAGATTTGATAAAGAAGGAGGCGGTCGTGGAGGAGGGTAGAGAGGATTGTAGGAAAATCGGTCGTAGAGAGGTGATAGTGAAGAAGGAGGAAATTGAGGACGGAGACGAGGATGATGATGACAAGGGAAGCTTCCACAGCAACAGTCGACAGAGGAGGGTGCCGACAGAGGACGTGCCTCTGACACCTGCCAGTGGCGGTGAGGAGGGTGAGGAAGGCGCGGACAGGAGGAGCACTAACAGTGTGTCCAGTCCTGTGTTAAGTCCACGGCAAGCCACACCGCTCACCCCGTCAGGTGCGGAGACAGCAGTGGCCGTCCCGAACAGCCCTTGCCGGAACAGCACCAGCAGTCCAGCCAGCAGCGACCGCTCAGGAACCCCGCGCAGCACCGCCGGTACTGACAAGAAGCCTTCTGCAGCCAGCGGCACCAGCCTCGGTGCACTGTCGTCCATGTTTGACAGTCTATCTGGGGGCCCTGGAGGCGGGGACTCAGTTCCCAGTGCGGGCAGGAGCACCAGTAGTCACCCTCTGGCTGCATTGCAGAAACTCTGCGACAAGACTGAAAGGCACGGGGGCAGCGGGAGCCGGTCTTGTGCTTCTGCCAGCGCAGGCGTTAGCAACAATCATTCCTCTTCGTCGGGGTCGGCGCCCACTCAGAGCAGTGGTGGGGGTGGAGGGGGCGGTGGCACGGCGCCGGGGGCCATCCTCGCCTTCAGTTGGGCATGTAATGATGCCGTGATGACTGGTGACTCGGTAATGAAGTGCGCGTTCTGTGATACACCCTTCATCTCCAAAGGTGCGTACCGACACCATCTCTCCAAGATGCATTTTGTTAAGGATGGGGTCATTCCAGACCCCGTGGCACTGAAGGCTCAGCAGCAGCAGCAACCTGGTGGCAGTTCCAGTGGCTCGTCCTCCAGTGCTAGCAAAGCAGCGATGGGGGTAGGTAGCAACTCGTCAGTGTCTGCCGGAGCTAACAGTGTCGGCAGCGCCTCCGGTTCGAGTAGCGGCAAGAGTCCACAAGAGCAAGCGAACTTTGAAGAGAGTCCTCACTCGAAGTTTCTGAAGTACACGGAACTAGCCAAACAGTTGTCCAGCAAATACGTATAGCTGTAGATTGTCTGCCTGTGTGTACATATTCGTTAATAACAGGGAGATTCAACACGAGAGACCTAATGTGAATGCTCCTATGCGGATTTGTAAATTATTTGTTCCCAGTTGTAATTTCCTCTTTCATGTCCCAGTAGATCTTGTAAAAAGCCCTGTCCTCTCCTTTCTCTTGCTGTTGGTGTTCTAAAATTGTAATTTATGAATCTTAGTATTAAAAAATGAACCTGCTCGATGATTCGGTTGCATAGCAACCGTTTCTATTCGTGCACAGTACAATGTGATGCTACCATATCTTGCAAGCGCGAAAAATCTTAAGTTAAGAGTAATAATATTCTATTAGGATACGGTATGTATAGAATTAAATATTTGAAGGAATTTGGTAGAAACATGAGACACTATCGATTTGTATTTGTGTCGCCGTTACTTTTAAAATTATATAGAATTGTGATGAAATCTGTAAGAACTGTCTTGAACAAAGTTCTTACTGACTGGGTCATGTTCTCCTCCTTCCAACGAACAGCCTATTTATTACACGTCACAATTAAATTGCTCATGTGATTTCCGGGCACGTTTAAGCCGTATGGTGCATATTGAGTGTATATAGACGTGGTATGAACGGATACATGCAAAAATGTGACAGAGAAATATTTAAAAACACTATTTCTCTTTTAAAAATTTTAAAAAAAGTATTTTACCTGAATCTGCAAAATATGGATTGTCAGTAAGTATTCAAAATGGGATAAAACTGAGATTACAGTCTTAAAGTAATGGCATAGCATAAAACAAGACATTCGTATACGTATGTATAATACCCAATTCTTCCTTCTCTGATTAAATAAAGGAAATTAATTAATCTCTCAAGTTTATGTATTTAAAATGAGAATATGCAAGAAATGAAAAACAAATGTATACGCTAGCTCGAGTACTGAAGCTGAAGCTCCCGTTATTTTGTTAACTGTTTATATTTCTTTCCTTGTCTCTTTTTTCATGGTAAAGAAACGCTCAAGCATTTTGCCTACACAGTTAGGGGTGTACAAAGTCTCCCATAATTTCAGAAGAAGTTTGCAAAGTAGTATGACTTAATAAATCTATGAGGTTACAATAATTTAATAAATATGATAAACACATTATAATTTATACATTTCATCCATGGCCAAATTCATTTGATGAAATCTCCATTGTGCCACAACACATTCTTTATAAATAAATGCTGTAATAAATATTTACAAATCTACACTTGTTATTTTTTGATTTTATAATGTAACGCCCTAGAGGTTCCGGGTTCAAATATTGGCCCAGATACCGGCTATCCTGATTGAAATTTTCGTCATGTTCCTTATTGTCTCCGTGTGAATGCTGCAATACTACGCTGAAAGAGGCAATGGATTCCTCCTTCCTCTATGTGGAGGAATGGGTTGTCGTCTGTCGCAAGGTTCGGTTACGTCATACACCGACAGGTTTATGTCGGTTTCCTTCATTCTCTGCAAGCTAATGTGGCCCGTGGCCCCCTCCCACACGTACAATGTCTGGCCTGTAAAGCATTCACGGCCATATTTTAATCTATATAGCTGATGTATGATCTAAAGCTTTCACGGCGACTAAGTATAGTCGATTTTTCTCGGGATACCAGCCGTGTGAGATGGTTCAAAGGTGAAATCACCAGCGTTTCGAGAACCACATTCAGTACCCTGAGGACGAGGACAATCAACCACCTGCAACGGCAATAACTAAATAATAAATTATTTAGATAATCCTTTGGTGCTCCAGTAAAATTGTAAGATTCCTTCTCGAAACGTTGTAATGTGTAATTTGAAATGTAAGTGCTTGAAGTTGACTGTGTGCGTCCTCTTTTAAAAGGATCGAGCCAAGGATTGAGAAAGCTGGAAGTACCACTGTCACCTGTGTTAACGCCTTTTTTTGTATGTGTGTGTGTTGTTTAACTTAATGGTACAAACTGTTCCTCTCTGTGTTCAAAAGAGGGTGGCAATTGTCATCCAAATACTGTCACTAACATTTTAAAAGTAATTGATGGTTTTTATATAACCAGGGATGAACATCATGCCACTAGATGTCGCATATAAATAATTTTTAACTTCCTGTCAAAATATACCGCCCGTCCTGACAGTCGAAAAAGTTAATTGATGGATAACGTATTGGAAAGGATTTGGAAGGAAGCGCTGGTGAAGATTCTGCCCCATTATGTATGGAGTGGCTGAGGGTGACAACGGAAATTCTCGTTGAGGATAACTGTAGAGTATAGCGTGTTAACGCATTCGTAGGTTATCACGAGTGGTTGGGAGGCAAGAATTCTGAACAATAAAATCCAAGAAGATAGTCGTACGTAATTTTCCTGGAAAATCAAGGAAAATAAGTCATGACAGCCGGTATTACGACCAGTATTCGAACACGAGATCTTCTGAATACAAGGATAGATCGTTACTGCTGCTCGGTAAGAGAGGTATTGAAACCTACGCTGGGTAAAATTTCAAATTTCATCAGAGATTGTTTTCAGTACATGATATATGGGTACCCATGGAGGAGAAGGGGTCATCGTGTTGACGTAGGAAGAATCTCTTCACCTGTCCGGCCCACACAGGGAGCTGGTAGGACCGGTTCCGCGGTATAATGACGGCTGTCCACCGGTGATTTACAAGAGACGAGTGTGGCGTCATGGAACAGCTTATAGGTGGAACTGTAGCCAAGACAACTGACACCTTCAATGTCTGCAAGCACCCGGATCCATTGTGCACGACACAGCGTCCTTTTGTAAAAGCGAAAATTTTTATAACTAAAGACAGACGTACTCCATTACGAGATTTAAGGTTCTCACGGCAGTGAGTTTAAAGATGTCTGTCTTCTGGGTTTTTGCGCCGCGTAGTCTGGTAGAAGTTCACCAAATTTTTAGAGATGCCTGCTGCTTCAGTCGAAGATTTGCAGAAGTTATCTTCATTATAACGTCCATGTATCTGCCTCTCCTGTTAAATCTTGAACATCATGCCATTTGAAGCGACTGCTTTTTGTACGTTTTTAATTTGTTACCAGTAATAGACCTACAAATATGAGAGCTGTGTGTACTTCGAAAGACAGAACGACATTAGCGCCACGTGTGGTAGAGATAATGTGCAACTTTAGTTCATATAATATTTCCAGAAAGTGTACAACAATCCAGCTACCGCGATTGAAGATTATAGTCCTACTAGTGAAAATTATGCACAGAATTAATAATTTATAGTTATTCATAGCATCATCACATTTTCGTAAGTGTTTAAAACAAGAAAGAATCCAAAGTTCTTCCCAGATATTTTTGTTTATGGAACAATTTTAAGGGACCCAGTCACTTGGCACTGCAGCCACAAATTGGTCAGCAGCACACACCCCTGATTATGATAGCATGCGTAAGAAGTCTAAGTGGAATTATTTATTATTGGCATGCGAAAACCCTAATTACTAGGAGAAAAACCTGTCCAGTTTTATTTGTCCAAAGCAACAAATTACGTGCCCTTGGATCGGGCATCGTTCACATGTTCACAAAAGTACTGATCAGAAATTATGCTATAAATGTCACCCTACTGAAATTACGTCGGGGCAGACGGAACTCATATATGAAAAGTAGAGAAGAACGCAGAATTTTTGTAGTGGAAAACATTTGGAAGACGGTTACGCTGAATAACTAAACGGAGATAAAAGGATAACGCTAAATGCCAGCTATTAATTGTACTAGGAGAGTGAGTCCTACACGTAGGATATTCCGATGGGTTGGACATGTAGTTCATCAGGGGAGACAAATAGCTACAAGTATCACTTCGAGTTGAGAAACTTTTGTAAACGGCCAGTACAATAATTTAATGGAACATGAGCTGTTCGGTACTTGCTTGAGTGAAGAACAGCTCATGGCGACATGTCATCCTTACGATTTAGCTAAACAAAGCTGCTGGCCTACTTATGTGCATTTCGCTCGTGTTAGTGGATACACATTACTAAACATGACATATGCGCCATTGAAATACACTTTTCAGACACGTTCTTTGTAATTCTCAGTACCACTTTTTCTTTACTGTTCATATATTACAGATAGGCTACAAGCTATTCATTAATATTTAAATTTTATGAATGTCACGTAACAATTTTTATACGATAAGCCATCCTTGAGAAATTTTATAAAGACCAATTTGGGATAATTGGGAGCTTTATTAACCAGTAAGCTTTAAAAACTAATTATTCATCGATTTCGAAGTGTAGACCTCCATTTCAGACTTCTTAGAAATCCGTTGATGAAGCAATGGAAACCTGTAGCCTGGGACGCGAGACTCTAAAATGAGGGGTGTTTAATTTAGTTAGCAGTGATTAAGCAAGTTAACCAAGGAAGTGGCATTAGGTGGGCGAGGGGAGCACATACACTTTTGAACATATATCACGCCAGAGAAAAAAACGTTTGTTACGCTCAAAAAGACTCTAATTATTTGAAATAATGACAAGCAGAATAATAGCTAGCGTTCTTATTATAATACCAATTTCTTGTACCATTTAAAATCATAGGATTTTATTAAGTTTTTTGTTCCCTTCTTTATAATTTTACCGCATAATTGTGGCGGATACCACAACTTTATGACGAAGCTTTTTTTTAACGTTTTGTAGAAAGCCCTTCTGAGGCAGTTTTTGTACTTCATAATAAATTGCATTGGGTTTATAGTATAGGTGTACAGGCCAATCAAGTACATGGGAACCCGAGATGAGACTGGCTGGCTGGCTGGGAAAACCCACGCCAAGAAAATATATTCGTGGCACGCAGGGACACTGACGAGAGAGATTGATGCCCTGAACAGCTGCCGCTACTGACAGATTAGCCCGACAGATGCCAGTAAAAGCGTTAAAGAAAGGCTTGTTCTCTTCTTGTCTTTCTCCTTTTGTCTTGCATCATTTTTCTCACTCTTCCCTCTTGTTCGTTTTTTTACTTCTCTCTCTCTCTTCATCTCAAAGTCGTTTCATTATCCTCTCACCTGACAAGAATACATTATATCTGCCCACTCAAGAAAAGTGGTTTACTTATTTATTGTAGAACCTATTATTTATTTAAAGCTGTTATGACGCATTATGTAGACTGACTATGTATACAGGGATGTCTTGAATCCCGCCAGTAGCAGATCCACATAAAACTGATTCTTACGAATCGCCATTGACACACTGTACAGTCACTGACAGTAATACATGACCGTTTATAACAGGTTCAAATTGCGTCGGCTGACTTTCTATTGTGATGTGGTAAGGATCGCCATGTCGGGAACATAAATTTAACGATTCAGAGTAATTTTTCGTTACTGCTATTGTTAATTTTCTTTTGTGTCTTTAGAATTTGACTTCATGGTAAATGATGCTGCGATGTTGATAGTTACTAACCAGGTATTATGTAACACAAGGTTTCGTCAATTTGCTCACAGAAGTCCGCCATTGCAATCTATCTCGAGACTTTTGAAATTATTCCACACCTTCCAGTCCTATCTCTGGAAGATATAGTTTAATATTATCCTCACATTTACGTCTATATCTACCAAATAGTCTCTCTCCATCTTGAGTTTTTTTGTAGGCCTACTTTTTATGTGCTGCTGTTTCTTACGTCAAAATATTCTCCACGTGACTTTGTGTTCAAACGTAATTAAGCAGTGAGACTAGTTTTACACCCATAAGACCTATATTACTATGCAGTTTAATTTTTTTTTTTTAAATTTAGAATTCTAGTTATGTCAGTGGAAGGTATAAAATTCTGAACTGTTGGTTCCGTAGCAAGCATTCCCCGAATAGGATTCTGATTCTTTATTGTTATTCCCAGAGACCTTTGAAGATTTAAGCTAGTTAGGCACTCTAATATTATGATAACTGTCTTATTCTGGAAAAATTTATCCACATGTATAGGAGCTACCTGTCACGCGTTCTATACAGGGGCGGAGAGTTTATGTTAACCGTGTTAGCCCGGCTAACACTTTAAAGAACGAAAAATAAAATCTTTTTTGACTTACTTATGTGGCTCGGTGATACTATAATACATACACTGGAACACAACAGAACCAATCAGATAAAATGCATTGTTAACCAGATCTAGTCAGCCAGGCGTTGTTAGCAAGCGAGTTGAGGTTAACACTTGCTGCAAGGGCCTGTTTGGCAGGAGCTAGATACAGATGCAGTTCGCCTGATCTGTTCTTGCGTTCAATTGTAGTGACTACCACTGAAACACGAAAATAG